GGTGCAGATGTGGGCGTGGGTTAGGGTGGGTGTGTGTGACTGTGGGGTGTGGGTGGGGTGGGGGTGAATGTGGGACTTATTTTTGCCCACGTCCAACGCCCACACCCACTCCCTATCCACCCCACACCCCACACCCACACCCCACCCACACCCACACCCCACCCACACCCACACCCACCCACACCTGCGCCCACACCCACGCACATCCATACCACACCCTCACACCCATAACCCACACCAGACACCCACGCACATCCATGCCACACACCCACTGACACTCACACCCATCCACACGCACACACACACCCACAGCCCCGTCGACACCCTGTCTTCAATCACTCCTTGCAAGTGTACATTGTTACATTGGTAATGAAACCGGAATAGGAAGGCGTTTGTTATCTCTATCTATTCATTTTATTATCTTGAAGCAAATTTAGGTTTTATCAGAAAACATGATTTAGGTTACAGGAAAAAGGTTCTTGCCACAGATCAATTTGTCAAATGAATGATGCGAGCACTAATGTCGTTGATTGTGCTTATCAATTTGTTCGTCTCTAATGCGGCATTCGTATTTATCATCAGTTGTCTATAGAAATTTCGTGCTTTTTCATAATAGTATCTTGCAGGTTCATATTGATGCCTTTTATCGTAGTTACATGCAAGAAGTGTTGCGGCTGATGCTCGCTGCTTCTCATCCATCAGCAATCGTTGGTAGAGATACATCGAGTCATGATAATATGTGATTCGACTAACGATGTATCCCTCGTCCGGTGAGCACGATTGTGACCCGTCATCTTCTTGAAGAATTTTGATCACATCAGGTGCATCATTGGATGCTTTCGCATGGAGATCGCGAAGAGAGGGACTAATTTCATCATTATTGTAGTCATTACCACGCAAATCGAGCAATCTTTCTACGAGGCTAAACAAATCGTACGAGTCGTATTTTTGGAACACAATCGACGCGTTCTGGCGCATGTTTTCAGCCTGTTGAAGACTTCCTTGCGATTCCAACAGACAGCTTGTCATGAGTAAATGATAGCCAATATAATAGACAAAGTGTTCAATTTTATCATCATCAATTTCAATTGAAAAGCCTTTCTCATAGCAGTGCAATGCTTTCACCACATCATCTTGAAGCATGTACGCATCAGCTAGCATCAAGTACGTTTTTGAAAGAAGTGAGTCATCAACAGGACAGTATTTTTGTATCGTAGTGAGACAATTTTTAAGAGATTCAATGGCGAGAGGAAGATCACATTGAGATTGGTACACTTCGGCAATACATAACAAAAGGCGTATGAAATTCGAATTACCAGGAAAAAAATATTTCTCATAGATCATTTGAGCTTTTCTGTAATAAGAAAGAGCTGTTTCGTAATCATCATTTGTTTTATAGATGAAGCCAATGCCGTGTAGGATGACAGCACACTGAGGATGCCCGTTTGGACAAGTTCCTTCATAAATAGCCGCAGCTTGTGTATAGCTAGCCATTGCTTCATCATATCGTTCTTGGTTTTTGAGAATGTTACCTAGAGTTGTCAGATCATTTGCTATCATAGGATGGTCTTTAGGAAGGTAGGCTCGTTTTGTTTCCAGAGCACGTTGAGTGAGGTTGAAAGCACTTTCTTCGTCTCCCTCGAAAAAAGAAATCTGACTAAGAATGTCAAGAGTAAACGCAATGTCTACTGTCGTGTTAGAAGAAATGTTCTCTTGTAATGCAAGAGCTTGTCGCAAATATTTTAATGCGTCCTCCTTCTTGTTTTGCTGTCCGAGTGTTTCACCGATTGTCAGTAGGTGATTAATCATTGCTGGATGATCGGATGGGAGAGTTCGTTCGTAAATTGCTGTTGCGTGAGAGAAATAATGCAATGCACGTTTGTAATCACCTTTCACTGTAAAGATGGAACCAAGTTGATCTAAATCATAGGCGCTTTCGAAATGATCACTTGAATAATTACTTTCTCGTGTATCGTAAGCTCGATTGAAAAAAGTGATTGCTAGATCGTGTTCACCTTTATATAAATAACATCGTGCAATGTTAGAAAGAAAAGCAGCAATATCATGATAATAGATTCTATCATGTTCGACTGTCGAAAGACTTTCGTAAATATTCAAATCTTGAGTGAGAATGGCAAGCGCATCATCGTAAACTCCTTTTTCTATCATAGCCTTACTGATATGAGACAAGATGGAGATGTTCCGTGTCAATTCTTGTTTTTCCCAAAGTTCTTTTGCGTAGAGATAATGTGATTCAGCCTCATTGTGCAAACCTTTGACCAGTAAGACATGACCAATATGAATATGCAATTGCCAATCCTCGATAGTGCCATCTAGAACTTTTATCTTCTGAAAATATTGTAGAGCTTTGTCGTAGTGACCTATCTCTGAAAGAAGATCCCCCCATATGATACAAACATTTTTCTCTTTCATTTCTGCTTGATTGATTTCTATGTAGTCTTTACAGATCTTGACTCCTTCGTCTGTAGCCTTCATTTTGATCAGTACCATATTCTTCTTTGATTCTACAGAGACTATTTGAAAAACAGCTCCAATATCAATAAGAACTTCTTGTTCACTTTTAATCGTACTGTACTGGACAATTTGGGCCAGAACAATTGTTTGTACTTGACTCAAATCACATTCAATTTCGAATAGAACCGCTTGATTTGTATCGTTGGATATGTCAGCAAATGTTAGAGCCACGTCTTTTGAAAGACTGGTAGACAAAAATCCATTCATCGATATCAAATGCCCTTCATTCTCTTTCAATTTTTTACATTCATCAATGGAGATACGCGCTCCACGATAGAGTGTAACTCGAGGCTCGTATTCTTTAAGAATCTGAAATTCACGAAGCAAATTCTTGCATAGATCCGAAACGATGAAACGAAAAGTATACAATTGTTCAATATCTTCGGTACGCAACGCTTTGTTCAAATTCCTATAGAGAAAGGGTTGACCTGTATACCAACGAATAGCATCGTCTGGTTTGTACGTTCTTTCAAATTCTTGAATCAGTTTCATTTGTTTGTTATTATTATGATATCGTTGTTGTAAGAATTCAACGAGATCTCGTTTTGCATTCATGTCGTTAGTTGGCATATTCAACAGAACATTTTTAAATAGCTGAAACCAGAGAAATAAGGCCGATTCTTTTGAGAGTTCACGTGTTGGTTTTTTATGCTGGTTGTAGAAGGAAAAGGCCATCTTCTGCTTTTGAGCTAATTCAATGTTTTCTTGAATTGATTCAGTTAAGCTCTTCGTATCATAGAAACAAGCGATTATTTTCGAATAATTAGCCAACAAGTCATCGGCGCGTTCGTCGGAAAGAGAGACCAGAAAAACTGAATCAATTTGTCGCATTTCATGAATAGACGGTAAAATATCGTAGGCGCATGGAATTGACGTAATAAAATAGAGACTACCTTTTGGCATTGACTCAATGTAGCTAATACAGAGATGAAGATTAGTACACACAGTGAAATGAAAGATTAATTTCTCGTCTGGTAATAGTTTTCCTTCTGCTGTCGTCACGCATTCATCAATTTCGGAATCATACCATATTATTGAAATATTTTCTTCCATAGTTGAAACTGTTTCGCGATCTTCTATTGAGGATTACGATCGATCCAACGATAAAACGTCTTATCTTTTTATTTCTGAATTTGATACTGTTACAACAACAGCAGATGTAAAATTTCTCTTAATATCTTGTGAAACAGCAGTCAATAAATAAAAACTTACATTTAAGTCGATATTACAAGACTTTACGCACTTTTCTACCTCGATGCAATCGAGTGGTGCACTGTTTTGTTTTTCTCTTTTTACGTTTTGATGATTAAAAGATAGTGTCTCTTTCTTTATTTATCGCATGTCATAAAGTCGTTCGTTTTTTATTGAATGCTGTTCTGAGTCGAGCAGCGCAGCTACGACACATAAACCAAATAAAAGAAACTTGGTTTTTATTAGTACGATGTAAACAAACGGCACAGTTTTTCTCTCTCACCAAGAGATTATTTACCAATTTTTGCATCGTTTGCCAACGTTACACCATGCGTGCATGTATGATCTCTCGGTCATTGCATTTCAGTCTTATCACAAAGATGTAGATTTTTTCGTAAGTTGTGAGCAGAGATTTTTCTAAAGTGATGACAAACACTCACGACACAGGGTGTGGGTGGGTGTGGGTGTTGGTAGGTGTGGGTGTGCTGGTGTGGGGCATGCGGGTGTGAGGTGTGCGGGTGTGGGGTGTGTGGGTGTGGGTGTGGGTGTGGGTGGCTGTGGGTGTGGGTATGGGTGCTGGTGGGTGTGTGTGTGGGTGGGGGTGTGGGTGGGGTGTGGGTGCTGATGTGAGTGATCACACGATTGATAGCCGCGCTCCACCCACACCCACACTCACACCCACACCCACACCCACCCACACCTACACCCACACCCACCCACACCCACACACCCACACACCCCCACACCCCCACACCCTATATATGAGATATATCCTTTATCGTTTACGTCTAGCATAAAAGAGATAGACAATTATAGTAAATAATGTCAATAATATTGATACATTAAGAATAATTGACTTCTTTATATAAATGATACCCAGGGAATAAAATAATGAAAAAAATGCCATGACTTTCATGAATTTTGCATCAAAAGTATGAAAAAAATGGCATTTCTGATGATGAAACGGACATTTTCTTTCATGTTTTTCAATTTCATCGATGAAAATGTTTATTTTCATCGGTGACATTGCATGAATTTGATTTTTTTCAAAGTCATGGCATTATTTTGATGAAAATATTCATTTTCATCGATGAAATCGAAAAACATCAAAGAAAATGTCCGTTTCATCATCAGAAATGCCATTTTTCTCATTTTTTTATTCCCTGGGTAGATTAATAAATAATTCTGTTTAGTCGATAAACATAACTGATACTAATTAAAAACTAATTTAGTAGATTGTTTTTTTTTGGAATATTTGTATTTGCTCGAAGAAACTAAAAATTCTTGCCGGTTTCGATAATTCGACGTGCAGCTTGTTCAGTAAGACGACCTTCAAGTAAAATATGTTGTGTAAGTACGTCTAAATTAGGTTTATCTTTTGAATCCGATGAATTAGAAAATAAATCTCCAATATCAAGCCGATGTGCGGGTAATTCTGAAACTGTTTTACAAACTCTTTCTTTTGTACTATTTTTTTTATTTTTGTTGCTGTTGATGAGTCAGTATCACAAGGTTTTTCTTTACTCGTCATTGAGAAAATTTTATTTTGATTATTCTATAATTAAAAACCAAACAAAAAAAGATTAAAATCTATATCATCGTAATATGATCATTCGCAATTTATTTTACTTTTCAAAATAATAATAATTTATACATATGAGATAATAGAAACGATTATCTAATGTTAGGACAAATGTTATTAGTCTCTTATATATAAGATTATAACTAATAAGTGGAGCAAAAGTTTTGCATTAAGCTTGTTTTTCACTAGTACTCCATAATGGATCATTCTTTTTACTTCAGTTTTTAGTATTAGACATACAACATTTCATCGAATTGTCAAAAGTATCCTCAATTATTTCTCGAATAATTTTCGATTGTTCAAAACTATCGAGTTCAAATTTTCACCACTCGAAAGAATGATTGTTGAACCGCCTATATTTATAATATTCTTTGACCATAGTGGATATTATATAGATAGACACTACAGTAATCGCTCTTTTTAATGTCGAAAATCTGAGCTGAATATCTCTGAACAACATAAACTTATTCGAAAAATTATGAAAGTGAAAACAAACTTACTGCAAAACTTTTGTCTCACCCATTACATACGCAGACTTCTTCATATGTTGTTCCCTATTGTATAGTACGTCTATATGTTTATATTCATTAGTGATGCGGAAAAGGCGTCAGAAGAGGATACATATTTATTGTCGATATTGTCTACATCTTTATATGAGTTATACTGTGGAGAACCAAATGAATGGTATATCGTTTACTAGAGCAGAAAACAGAATACATCATTACACATAGTTATATATCCATATATACTCGTTTTCTCATAAAATCCGCATTGCCTCTCTGAATTGTTTTACATTGTATGCACAGATGGATGTAATTATAAACATTGATCGGATTCATTCCTTATTATGCTTCGATGTAAAAAAAAAAAAAGAAATGATTAGTCAACGAATACTAACACATAGTTTTTTGTTTTGGGTATTTAAATTATTGACTGAAAGAAAAATATTGAGATACTCGAAATTTTTCATTGTATTGGATTTATTTGATCATTGTGCGCTCAAAAAGTGAGTACACTCTAGAATCGGTCAGTATGTCCGGCCGGCCGGCCGTTTACACGATAACTTTCGAAAGGAGAGTCCGATCACGATGAAATTTTCTATACAGTTCAGTCTTTACAATACCTCTGTCGAGTTCGAAGATAAGAAGGATCGGCCGAGCCGTTCCTGAGTTATTGCAAAAATACCCATTTTTCCCTATAGCTTCATATGGAAATATCGACCCATCGCCGCTTTCGTAGAAGACTTTTCCTGTCATAGTCAATTAAAACCCTAACTATTATACACTATTCGATAGAGAATTTCACGAGCTACAAAATGGTATATAAAACATAAAGAAACAAGAAGGCTAACTCGCCTAATACAACGATAATTAAACGGAAATTGGTTCTGTTTTTGTCCACGCTCTGATTGACCCATATTAGAGCTTCATCTTTCGATCACAGAGATGGTAATTCGAGGTTTTCTGGGGCGGAGAACTCAAATCTGTACTCCACTTGCCTCGAAATACCATTGGTTGAGCAGGGACCAATAGAAATCAAGTTATAGGAAAAAACGACTTTCTTAGGGTAATTCAATGCGAAAAGTTCAAATCTGAGCTGTATTCGGCTCTAAATCCTATTGGTTGAGCAGTAGCCAATAGAATTCATGTGTTTATAGAAAAGGTTTGCGAGGATAATTTTGATGTCCACACATTCTAGGATGACTCATCTGTCTAATTCACTTTTTGAAGTACACATAACTCTCGGATTTAAATCCGAGGTTCCCTTATTTATTTTTATGATAGATTCACCAAATTAATTCGATCAATTCTGTTATATTTGGATTTGGAAAATGTATTGAAGTCGAAATTTGAACATTTCTGTATGCAAACACGTAAAAATCAGTTGATCAAAGGAAAAATTTATTCTATTCATTTGTCTGATGCATATTTAACAAACATGCCATATAAAAATAATGTGCAAGATGATATCTCGTTAGCTAAATAGAACGATTCACTATCCTAAATTTACCGGATGAAATTCTAACTTCAACACGAACGTCGTTGATGTAAATGTTAACATTTTCTTCTGTTAGCTTAGAGCAAGTGCTGGAAATCTTTGAATATGCACCAAGATTAACAAATTTCACTTTAGACTATCTTACATGGGACATGAAAAAGATGAATATATCGACCCATCCTAAAAATTCGGTAATGTCTCTAACACGATTGAACCTCGATGATTGTGAAGATAACTTTCAATTAATGGATATTATCTTCAAATGCATATTTAATCATGTCCTAGTTAACACATTTAGCTATTTTTAAATATCAGTTATCTTTTGATTGAACAGACAATAACGATATTCATGATATTCTTCTTCAATGTCAACAATTCCATAATGATTTTTGATAATAACAACATCAGTGAAATGTTCAATGAGAAATTTTCACATGCTCAATAAAGATTCATACTATTTTTTACCTATTAAATGCATGCATATTATCTCCTTTAATAGAAGATTATTGTTCAGAATTAATCAATCCGAAAGCTCTATTCGATGGTCTTACTAATCTAAAGATTCCATACCGGATAATTTCAAACATTGTTTTTGTAATTATTTCTCCATTGTCAGGATCTTGAATCTGAAAAAAGACACTACTCATATTACTCATGTGAACTTTCATTTAAGTTATATTATAAGATAAGCATCGGTGGTGATTGACTTGCTGAACAAACCTTCAAATCATTCTTTGATAAATATGTGCATATGAATTTAACGCAAATAGATACCAACAGCTATACGCACCAAACGCAGGCGCAGATTCGCATCCTTTTTTATAAATCACTTATATTTGACTGTTATGATCATCTTGATGTCTATGTGAAAGGAGTTTTTCTTTTCTAGGAGACATTCTATAAGTTTATGTTTAGTTTCTGATAGTTTTAAAATTAAAAATAATTTCTTTGAAAATTTATTTATTTATTATTGTTGTTAAATTCTTTGTATAAATGAATATAGTAGAAAATAAAGTTGATCATTTATTTAACAGTCTATCGATAGAAGAGAATATTAAGAATAAAGAAAATCGTTTTACTTTGAAAAAGCTCAAAGAAATAGATGAAGATGCAAAATTAACTTGAATAATATCTTTAATGTAATTTAATTTTGTCCTTTTTTGTAGCTCATGTCAAATATTACCATTGATAACGATGAAACCTTAAATGTTTCTTTTCTATTTTAATAACTTTTTACTTGTCGTAAACAGAATTCTAAAAAAGACTCTAAAAGAGCTTTTTTTCTAGAGGATCTAACTTTTTAGACAATTTGTATTTTTGGATTTTGATCTAAAACTTGGCACATACAGAGAAATCAAATATATACTATCGCTAGAAAAAACTTTAGTTCTTGATGGATTCATATTTCGAAGAGATTTTGTTCGAAATTTATGAGGTTTCCGAAGATATATATATATTTTCTTTTGATTTCAGATAAATAATGGTTGAAGAAAGTACAACACCATCTCATGATTTTAAAATGTCATAGAAATTAATTTTATGAAAGAGGATCAGTGCAATTTGTGAAAACAATAACGATAAATAAAAGTTCAACGAAATGTGCAATGCTTTTATTAGAAGAAACCCTTGATGAAAATAAAAAGAAAGGAAATTATTATAATTAAAAAATCGTAAAGCATATATCAGAAAGAAAACAATAATCAATACATCAGTAACGATATGAACTATGTAATTATTGTTGAATTACTCGTGTTTTAGTTTGCGTATAGATAATATAATGAAACAATATAATCTTATATTTAATCTTGTGACTAAAAGTATCTATATGTTTTAGGATAACGAATTTTAATCATTTTTCTGGGTTCTCTA